ACAAAATGTGAAACTAGAGAAATTTAGAGTGTATGCTTTCAATGAACACAAAAACTATGAATCTGAATGAGAAGAATCATGTGGAAATTGTGGATTGCAATGGTTGTCTTTCAGTTGGAAGAAAGCATGGCGGTTAGTTTTTTGTGTTTCATGGCAACATCGATGAGGCCTTAACCTCTATAGTGGATTTTCCATATGCCTGTATGAATAATTGATGGAACGGTGTTTAAATAGCAATTTTCAATTAAGTTGGCATGGCAGCACGGATTTCTTGTTGTAAACCATTTGTTAATTGGCACCTCCAGCCTTTGTTTGTGCATCCGAAACCTAAAATTCAAGTGCCTCGCATTTGATGATATCATTCCAACACTGCACATGATTTTAGCACAGGTGGTTTGGAGTTGGTAGCTTCTTATTATTGGCCATTTATGATTTTGGGTTGGGATAACTTACCCGTGTCATTGTTTTTTGGCTCCCGTTTCAGGTAAATGCAGTATGGGAAGAATTTGAAGAGAAGATGCCGGCGGTTGCTGTTCCATTCACGTAATGTCTGTAATCTCTTGTAAGAGATGCAAATACATATTGTACTAATAAAAAAAACATGAAATGCTTTGAGCAGGTTGAACATGCTTTGTATGTGTGTTGATAGTTTTTGGAGTAACAAAGTTATGATGGATTTGCCATTATGGTATATTTTATCAAATGGATCTGGTTATGGTGCTCTTGAATCTTTAGTTACTTGTTGGCTTGCACAGAGAGGAAGCTTGTAGATCATGCATTCATTATACCACTCATGGATTGATTCAATTTAACCCATGTCTGGCACAAGTTTGAAGATTTTGTGAAATATATTTACAGATCATCAGGATTTAGTTCAAATTGATGGAATCAAAATTCTACTTAAATGCAACTTTTTAGTGCATTGTTTTGATTGTACATGAAAATTCCATATCACCATCTCAAGGGCAGGGCCCATTTCAGTTGAATGCTTTAGAAGCCTAGTTTGAAATGTATTGGTGCCCTAATGAGCTAAAAGGCAATGGCCTTTCCATTTAACATATATCTAAATTCTTTTCTCATTTATCCTAATTTTATTATATTGCACTTTCTTATTAGAAACAGATTAGGGTTTAGTACCAAATTCAATTAACAAAATTGAAATTTTAAGTATACCAAGAATGATTTTTTGATTGACCTAAAATTACAGTTTTATATATATATATATATATAGATTGTTTATTTAAATATTTTTTTTATAAAAAAAAAAAAAAAAAACCCTATAAATCATGACTAGTTGATGGTTTAAAAAACTATGAACAAAATTATTTTATAAATGAATTAGGTTTTTAGTTTTTCTTAACGTCAAGCTTTAGGGCTCTTAATTGACATGTTTTACAATAAACAATATATTAATAATTAATTAATTAAGTAATTAATTAATATAGACTGTACTTTTGACGATGCTAATTTTGACTGTCTGTAATTAATGAAACGAAGCTATTATATTATGATTATCCATGTCGCTCAGGTGTGTACTTATACTATATATATATATCTATATATATATATATATATATATAGAGTCTTGCTATGTAATTATATGATTAACTAGAGATATCAATTATTGTGAAAAATTACATATAAAGAAAAGACAGTTGGAGTCTTTCAATTCTCATGTCGGACAATATGATTTTTTTTTTTTTCTTTTCAAATTGGGTTTTGACCAAATGAACATACATACGTGTTTACACACATTCATATACATATAATATATGTGTATATATATATATGTATGTATGTATACAATTCTTGGATCTTGGTCCTTAAAATAACGTATGAAAACATTTTTGTAACAATTCATGCCACATAAATTGCCTCAATACTCATGAATTTCAACGCTCCTCGATTTTTCTTAATACAAACATCTTTTATATATATATATATATATATATACACATATATATATATATATATATTAAACCACAATCCTCCTACTTTGAATCTTGCTGCCTAAGAATATTAAATCCCCACTTTGCACAAGTGTGATATTTAAATTATTTAAGCAAATTGTATCTCTCTCTCTCTCTCTCTCTCTCTCTCTCTCTCTATATATATATATATATATATATATATATACGTATATGTATTTTCATGTAAATACATGCATACATACATACAACACAAGTCTAGTTAAGAAATATATAATAATACCTTTTTTTGGGTTATTTTAATTATTACATATACATATAATGTATTCACATATAAATACATGCGTACGTACATACTATAACATAAGTCTATCCACTTATACGTATGTTAGTAGTTTTACCAAGATTAATTAATATAAAATAAAATTAAGAAAAAAATTAGAACACATACAGCCAGCAAAACGGCACGATTAGAGTTGACTTAAACTCTTTTAATTAATAATTTTTTGTCTTTAATTTTATTGTTTATATTTAATTAAGTTTTTAATTTTATGATAAACCATAATCTATTGCCTTAAATTACTATTATATTTCATTTAATTAGTTAAATATTTACCTTCGTCAAAGAGGATTAATACATTACTATTGCAATTTATATAATGAATTATAGTTATATAGTAGAAGAAGATTATTATAAATCATATTATTCAATTTAATTACTACCATTTACTCTATTTCAAAGTCAATTAAATTTGAATAATATATAATGAACTATATTTTAAAAATTATAAACTAATTATATATATAACTTTCAATTTAAAACGTTACATTATCGATACGCAATTTGAATATCAATTCGATAAATTATTTTATTTATTTTTGTATTAAATTACGTTTTGTAATTTCAACTGTATTCAATTTCTAATAGTAAAAAATTTTGGTGAAGAAAATTTTAACGAGAAAAAAGACGAGATCCAAACTGACCTGAAAAAAGAAAAGACGATAAAAGAAGGCAACGATTTGGAAAAACCCTAATCGGGTTTTCTTTTGTTTTTCTTCGTATTTTATTAATGAGAGAAAAAAGAAATTTATTTATAAGAAAGAAAAAAACATATCTCTGTCTATACATATATATACACAATATACATTGAACCATTATGAGACTCAACAACCCGTCTCACATTTCACCGGTAAGTGATGGAAGCTAAGCTAGAGTTGAAATATATTTGACATATACCCACCTAATTTCCTCTTATTATCAAGCATATATATATATATATATATGTATATATATACACGTATGTACATATATATATATATATATAGTTTGTTTATTCAAAAGACTAGTTTATTAGTTTAGTTATGCTGGTATACAATTAAGAATATGGTAATAGTGAAAACACAACGTATATAATGCGAGTATGTTATATTATTTACATGACGTGTGTGTGTATGTATAGATGAAAGGAAATTAAAGAATGTCACATGCACGTATGCATGGTAAGCTTAGAGAAGGTTGGCATTTCCTTGACTCACGAATCTTTGTCTGCCTCGTGCACCCTAAACAAATTATTAATTATTTTTTTTTTATAAAATTTAAAATTGAAATTCACGTTTGACTTTTTTTGCAAACCCAAATTTCAAATTAATTAATACTAAATTATGTTATTATTATATATGATAATATTAATTAATCACAAATCAAATCCCAATATATATATATATATAGATTAAATTATTGTTAATTTTAATTAATTCCTCAACATTTGTGGCACGAGAGTCAACTTAATTAGAGAGGTGTGCAACGTTGAAATCAATCCATTAATTTCTTGGAGGTTGGTTCTGTCTCTTTGTTAAAATATACACATAATATATATATATACACACACACACACACACACACACACACACACATGTTTTTTAATATATATGTATATGTCCGAACCCTAATTTGTATGCATGCCACGATTCTTTACTTCCATTTTCAATTAAACGGCTAATTAATTCAAAATTGTGACAACATTGGATATTAATTTTTTTAAAAAAAATATAATACAGTAGTGAATTTTAATTTTAATTTTAATTTTTAATTAGTAATATAATTAAGACTAATTAAATTTAATTAAAGAAAGTATTGGGAAGTTGGAGAGCATAGGGATTGGGCGATGTGGTATCCCACATCGAACGCCTTAAGACCCGGATTGGTTGATCATCAGATCTTTCGAGTATTTAACAGTTAAACACAAATTACGGGTTAAAATCTCTTTTTAATTAATTAACTTGGTAATTTCAATTTTACCACTTTCTAGAATCAACTTTTTTTTTTTTTTTTACTGTTTCAGTCCACAACAGTAACTATTTTTTACTGTCTTCTCTAACCTTTGGTTATGCGCTTGAGACTTTTATTTTACTTTTACCGTTTTACCTTCTTCTAGGTCTTGTTAAAAAACAAAAAAAAAAAACTGAAATTTGATTTTTGGGCAGTTTATGATCTCAATACTCTTTGTCTTTACCTAGATAGATAGATACATACACATACATACATACATACATACATATGAATATAGACAAAGTGTAAGGTAAAGACAAAAAATGGGCCACCCAGAAATTTGTTTGCAAGTCTCTTACACTTGCAGCCACTGGTACAGAAATTAAGAAGAAGGGCTAACACTTTCAAGACATTCCAAACTCCAGATTTTGGATTCTTCTCTACTGTAATTTCTTTTTCTTTTTCAAAAGTCAAATGATGTTAGAATTCCAGAGTTTAGAACATTAAATAGGGTTTAAATTTCTCTCAAATTTAATAAAAATTTAAATAAAAAAGTACTCTAATTTCAATTTTTTTCAGAAAGTTGAATATTTAAGTGCCGAATACCAGATCGAGTTGATTAGTTCGTGTAAAATAAGGTTTAAGTCTGTTAGTCTCTTCAGATATATTTTAGATGCATACACTACTATACTTCTACTTACCATCTATCGGCTCTTAGAATTCTCAAACTTTATATCATTTCATCTCTGCGAAGACAAAGAATCCATTTCTACCGGAGATTTTGGCGAAGTTCTCCGGTTCAAGAATGTTCGGTTCAAGTTAGATGTTTATGTAGAACTTATATATTTTTTCGAAAAAGATTACATGCTCAGACCAAACATTCCTTTTTTTTTCATTTTCAGGATATGCAGAATCGATTTTTGTAAGCAGAGAACAAATGATTCCCACAAGGAGATTTTGATACAATTAACAGAATATGTCGTGAACAGACAATATTGTCTTAAGAAATAAAAATTCAAGCTAAGCTAAAATGCCCAAAAATTGGATGATATAGATAATATCCTTCTCCCACAACACCCAAAAAGAAACAAACTGCAAAGTTATGATGTCGAAAAGAAAAAAGAAAAAATCTGAATCAAGTTTGGTGCATTTACAATTTCATGGCGGAACTGCTCCTACATCTCTCTCTACCTTCCTACATTGTCACTGCTTGAATCCGGAACAATCATTAGCTTTCTCGCTGTCTTCAGGAACACGCTGCAATGCCAGTCCAATATACAAAAATCATGTTTCAGAATCTGTTGCAAGTTCAAACTCTAGTTAACCAGACAAACAACAAGATCAACTTACCTAAAGGGTTCATTGCCAGTTTGTCTAAGACAACCTGCCGCATCTCGGTACAGCACTGCGCCCACCATCTCCGAATTTTCCATGCCATACATGTTTGCAAGCTTTCCATACAGCTCTTGGTATGAACTAAGGACTGACAAGTCAAGATTTCGACCAACATCATCAGATTTCATGAATACTTTGCAGTGATCTGCCTCGAATCCAACATCAGTTTTTTGATCATCTTTGCACCAAGGAGATCCTTCATCCGAAGAATTTTCCTGTGTACCTATCTGATTTGTTGCAGAACCAGAGCCATCAGAAGAAATTGTAGTTTTCTCTAGATTCCCATCCAACGAACCATTTCCCATTGTATCCCCAGAAGAGCTTTCACAATTTTGTGGTTGAGTTAGAATAAGTTTACCAAACAAAAAGAAGTGCGGTGTCTTTACTTCACTGTTCTCCTTCAAACTACTGGTGGGATTTCCTATTGTCAGCGAGCAAGATAAACTCTCATTGATTTTGCTGGTTCTTACAGAATTGCCATTGATGCTTCTGGAAGGTGGGGCAGCATGATCAAGCTGCTGCTGCTGCTGCTGCTGCTGCTGCTGCTGGAAATCAACTGGAAACAACCCCGGCTGCAGATTGTTGAAGTAGAGATCTGAAAAAGATGATCCATATTGAGCATGCCTGGCTCCCTGTATGCCTGCAGGTATCATGTCTGAAATACAACTCAAGGGGCTGCTGGACCTGAGGGTGTTGCTCGAAAATGATGGCACTGGGACTTGGGTCAGTAGAGAGAAATCCGGGTGTTGTGGAACCCGCATCTTTTTCCTTGGTGGCGAGAAGGGGGACAGATGGAGTGTTGGTATGTTGGTCACCAATTCAACCAACCACGGACTAACACGCTTAACATTCTGGAGTAAGTCCGGCTCGTCCCATGTCACCTAAAAGATTATAATTGGCAAAAGAACATTTCAGCCAAAAAACTAGGTAGACTGAATAAATCTATGACAAGGGAAAACATAAATGAATTGGATGATTTTTTGAGACTGAATTTTGAAGCTTGAAGCTCATTAACATAAATCAATGTCAACTAGGACGAACCAGCAAGAAATTTAACTATGCTAACTATCTCAATGTTAATATCGGTTAAAGGTATCTGTTATTTACAGATTTAAATGAGATGTGACAAAGTGCTCTGTATCACTGAAATTAGAAAATCTAGAGAAAATTGATGTAATAATTACGATTCAACAGAAAGTAAGAGGCATACCTCAAGAAGCCGCCATGGAGAATTAGGCCAGTTAATAGGGTCAACAACCTGAACAGAAGCCACAGCCCCCATGAACCAACTTATCCGCGAAGAGTCCTCAGTCTCAAATGCCATTTTGAACTTCATTCCAGGACACCATTGGATCTGCATAGCAGCCCTCACAGCTGAGGCCTTCACACAGAACTCCGGAGTGCTTGCTCTCGGATAGTAAACAACCTCAAAAGGCTGTCCCTTGGCAGCAAGAGTTGCAGCCTCAACAACGGATTCTGCCCTTACCCTTCCCCTCAAATCTCCATCAGAACAATTTCTCCTCATCAACTTACTCTCATCTTCTCTAGAAAAACCAGAATATCCCCCGGATGAAGAGCTACAATTTCCACCAACCGGATTCCACCCAGATGAGTATTCAAGTCCGTTACCAGTCCCTCTCTTAGCCCTTCGAATTCCCACACGAAGATCCCCATTCTCTGCCCTGAAAAACACTATCGAATCCCCAGCCACAAGCTTCTTCTGGTTCACAAAATTACTCCATCCTGTCGTCAACAGGTGACGACGAGGAGTCCCTCTATAAATATGCCTAAATTTCCAAACCTCGCCATGGACATCCTTGGCGAGAATGGTCTGGACAGGAGGTTCAGCGTTGTAATCCAACCTAGGGAATATAGTCTCCGCACAGTAGCGCGGGACAGAGAATCCCCCACCATTGTTAGCATCAGATTGAGTTAAAGTCTTGGCAAATGAGACAGGTTTATCAGAACTATCAACCCCAGTACTTCCATCAAACACATCGTGATCATCACCAATATAGCCAAAACCAGTTTCTCTGAGAGGCACCAATCTGATTTTCGCATAAACCTCATCAGTCTCAGTATCAGCCATGTACTTAATGGCTGATACACGGCATAGGATTAAGGGTGGAATTCGGACATGCCTCAAATCCACAATCCCATGGGCGTTTTCAGAGTGACCCTGAGGAAAATAAAATACCTTGGAGTTCAATGGTGGAATTTGGACCATGCTACCAGCACAGGCATGCCATAGTTGAGGATCTAACAAGTTCTCTGAGTTTTTCCTCATTGGGTCTTTAATGGAATCCATTATGGTTATCATTGTTTAGTTTTTGGCATAAAAACCTCCGTTCTTGCTTTGGTATTTTTCTCTGCGAGAACATGAAAATTTTAGCAAGTTTACGTTAGTCAAACATCCTACTATAAAATCAAAAAAAATTAAAATTACAATATTTAAAAAGAAAAAGTAGAGATAACCATGTTTGGCAGTATAACTTAACCCCTCCAATTTTGATTTTTGATATTCCAATTTTTTAGTAGAAGAGAAGGGAGTAGGGTGGGGGAAGGGAGAAACTAACAGACTTTAATAAGGTCAAGTTCATTTTGTATAGAGAACCCAGAAAAAGAAAATAACTAAAACACCAAATGGATTCAATAATTTTCTCGTTTATTTTCTAGATAACCAAACAAATAACAACCGCCATAAAATTAGTTTATAAAGAGAAAGAAGAGTCAATTCATAGTATTCTTACCTTTATCTGGAACAGAATTTACGCAAGCAAAACAAACCCCATCAGAAAACAACAAATCTCTGACTTCAAATCCTCCCACCAAGAAAACAGAGCAAGAAATCCAAGTAAATGTACGGAATCGAAGTTTGCAATTCAGATACACCTCTCAAAAACTACAAGAAATTAACCAAAAACGACAGAGAAACTTTTTCGATCACCTCCCCTCGGATTGAAGGACCATAGAAACAAAAGAAGACCCAGAAACAAGAGTACCAGGAGTGAAATTTTCTCGGGAAATTTGAGAGAGAAAAAGAGAAGATAAGAAAAGTGGGTTTACTGTTCAGAAAGTTGGGTTATGAAGAGTGAGAAGCTTATAACGAGAGAGAGAGAGAGAGAGTGGAGATACGCGTGAAGCTTCCTGTTGCCGACCAGAGACTGTGAGAAGTAAAACGAGTAAAAGAGACAGACAGAGAGAAAGAAGAAGATTTGTTGATGGGGAGGCGTTTTATCGATAGATTTGGATCGTAAGAGTCCAACATTAAAGCCAATTTCAGGTGAATTTTCGCCTTATTTCTCTTTTAATTAATTTAATTAATTAGTTGATTAATTTAATTAATTAGTTAATTTATTTGTTTACCAGTTCTTCTTTTCCAGATCTGTACATACACGTAGTCCCTTTTACTTCCAACTGTTTTCATTCGCGTCCTTCCCCATTCTCACCCCTCAGGCGCGTGTGATCTCCTCAAAACCCGCACTGCAGCCCGGACGAAACGACACCGTTGGTGACGTTGTCCTCCTCGCGAGGACACAACATAACACCTGTCTCCCCCCCGAATCATAGGAGAATCGTCTAATTAATAAACTATTCGAACGTGGAATTTCTTTATTTATTATTATCTTTTATTCTAGTTATAA